AGACAGCCAGGGAGTTGGGGTCCACTCGAGGGTTCCGGTGATACGCCGCATTGCAGTGTTCAGTAGTACATCAACAAATCGAGCGACAACTTCTGGTCCATACTGGTGCGCAGTACTCGGCTACAGAGTACACAAGGGCAATCGTTGATATCCGTCGCACTGGGTGCTGATGCTCCCGAGCTGTGCTTTCTAGTTTCTGGACCAGGTTAACCCTTGTTTTGGTCTTGGCAGCTACATTTATCAGGTGGTCGTTGACGGTTAGTGTATGTTCCAGCTCCACTCCGAGATTGGTCGGAGTGGGGTCGTGTCGCAGTGTTTCCACAGAAGGTCACGTTCATAGTGTGCTTTGGCCTTCCTATTATCAAGATTAAATACGGTGACTTTTTTGTGGGAATTTGGCTTGAGCCTCCATTTCCAGAAATATTCCCCCATGGTGTTTAGGTCTTGGTTTAGGGTGGATTCGATGTTGTTGAAAGTGGCTGCTAGTGTTGCCAGGGCAAGGTCATTCGCATATAAAAATGTGCGTTGGTGGCATGTGGCTCATATAGATATTGAAGAGCATTGGCGCGAGTACTGAACCTTGTGGCAATCCATTGTTGAGGAACCGAGGTGAGCTAGATTTGTTGCCGACATAGACACGCAGCCACCTATTGCTCCGCATTGTCTAAATCAGGCATATTGTTTCGAGGCAGGGAATGGCCCTTGTGAGCTTCAACGTCAAACTCTTAATCTAAACTGCTAACAAATCCACAAAGGCTGCGCCGGTCTGGAATTTCTTCTGGAATCCAACCTCGATGTGTGTCGAAAGGACCAAAACTTGGTCACAGCAGCTACGTCCAGACTGACATCCCGCTTGTTCTTCAGGAATCACTGTCTCGACGAGGGGGCTGATTCTCCAGAGGATTATACGTTCCAGGAGTTAATAGGTTGTGTACAGGAGTGATATCGGCCTATAGGTTGTGTACAGGAGTGATATCGGCCTATAGCTTCCCAGGTCGTCGGTTGACTTGCCCGGATTGGGTATGGCAATGACCATTGCCTCCTGCTATGCTTTTGGGATGCATCCGGTTTTCAGAGTTTTTGTGTAGTTATGCCAGCCATTGGAGTCCCCTAGGACCTAAGTGATGCATGAATTCTGGGGGGATACCATCTCTGCCAGAAGCCTTTCCCGTCTTCATTGCAGCCAGACCCTCCCTTACTTCCTCTGTGCTGGTGGCGGTGGGATGTTGTGAAGAAATGAAGGCCATTGGCTGGTGCAATTGGCGATTGAGATCTCGCTTGATGTTTTTGTCGAGCAGTCCTTGTGTGTTCACCACTAGTTTGGAGGCTATAGAGTTGGACAGGGCTCTTGCGGTCCGGTATTCTGTTAGATTAGCAGCACCCAGGCGTCGTTGTAGGACCCATGCACGGTGGCCTTCAACGCACTCAATTCACTGCTTCAATCCACCCGATCAAACCCAGGGAACTTCTGTAAAAGACCCAACACAGAAGATCCCTGGGTTTTATATTCCACGAAGCTCATGGTCCACCCTGAACCGCATCCGCACAAACCACGGCAGATGCGGATACCTGATGCACAAATGGAAAATTTAAAACTCTCCAGTGTGCGACTTTGGGCATCCAGCATAGACCGGATAACATAGGACGACGCAATGCCCGATCAATAAATATGAACGAGACATTACGTTGAGCGATACGCTGGGCTACTCCTGACAGTTATCTGGTTTTATCACCTGAATGCGAAATTGCAGCTGTTGCCCTGCATCTACATCAGCCATATGAAACAAGGTTGAGGAATGTGTGTTGACTGTGTTATTCAATAAAAGCGCAGAAAGTACTGTACTATATATAAATGCATTTGCACTATATGAACTGTAGGGGGCAACCTTGCCTCATTATTTTAATCATAAGCAGGGCTATTTGCAATACAAAAGTGGAGCACTTTCCACTTTTAACCTTGCATTTGGCTTGTAAATATTAAAATTTCCACAGCCATAATCATTGGAATTTCCATCACATGTGTGATTTTGCAGAATGGCTGTCAACTTTTCCATGACAAACTGATGACACCACTAAGTTTTACCCTTGCTGGCAGTAAAACAGGTGTTAATGTATTATTTGGGTCTTTCGGTAAAGTCACGTAGATAGGTTCAAAGAAAATAACAAAAAAAACTACGTTTCGATCACAACAGGATGGCGACCGCTTGTGTTGCGATCGAAACGTCGTAGTTTTTACTTATTTTTTTATTTTCTTTGAACCTATCTACGCGATTTTACCGAAAGACCCAAAGAATATGAATTCCTGCAGTCACGAAAGCTTTAAGTCAAGATTTAGGTGTTTTTAATGTTCAAACACCAAATACAAACCTTTTGCAAGGAATCAAGTCCACATTAACCACACACAGTACTTGTGGTGAACATGCAAACATGGTCTGATATAAGCTGCTCACAAGTACTGTGTGGTTAATGCGGACTTAATTCCTTGCAAAAGGTTTATATTTGGCGTTTGAACATCTCAACACCCCCTGTTTTATTGCCAAGAAGGATACAATCTATTCTTTTTACACGCTTTTGTTTAACTCACTCTGTCTGTTGTTGTCGTTGTTATTGTATCCTCAAATCTTGTAACTCAATTTCAACCCACTTCCCAATGTGGTATCGACTGCAAAAAAATAGCATACTTATGTCATACTTATGACAATACTATATTCTGTCATAAAAAAATAGATATTTTCAAACGGTCTTTTTTATATGTTATGTTTCGGCTTGGCTATAATTGTCCACGCTCAACTGACGTTGGCTGTAAATCACCACGGTCCCCTTACGTTATGCCAAGCTTCGGGCCCACTACATTTCACTAAAGCGTGGTTTTCAAAAAGTTTTTTTAAAAAAATATTACTTACTTTTCTGTCAAAAAGGCCCCATTTTCATGACGTCACATCGCACGATAAACCGCCACACACCACAACAGAGGACTTCGCATAACACAACACTCCACACTACTCAAGTATTCTTTTATTGTTTCCGCTGGGGAGATGCGCACAAAGTACAGTGATAAAGAAGCCATTTATCATCATTATTATATTCGTCTCTACTACACCCACATTGATCAGCCTGTAAAAGTGTCAAGCAGTAATAATTATGGATAACCAAAGGAAATTAAGTGTCGAGGAGCGAGTTGGTAATGGGGAGACAGAATTACTGTACTCTGTTTCTCGTTGTATTACAGAACTAGCATCTGGTGTAAAAAAGTTTATTTGAAGTTTAAAAACAGTGGGCTTACATTCAGTCGTAGGGTATAGTTAACACCTATACTTGTTAACTATACCCCAAATTAACTATACCTGTTGCAGGATACGAATATGGACACAGACCAAACTGAAATGCCTCCCCAAAATCCAAAATTATCGCGCTTCTTAGAATACAATCTGCTTTAGTCAAGGCACAGCGTGTGTACTGTGTTTTAGTTTGCAAATATATTTTACTCGGCAATACAAGCTGAAATGTTAATACTAAAAATCCTCTGTCGTACATTAAACACAATGTCAGACCAACTTGAAACGTTTCCAGTTAAGCAAAGACTCATTGAAAGATCAACTCCCTTACGATTTTTTAAACTGGATTCTCAGCAGTTGATTGGCAGTCAAATTGATGCACGTGGATCAGTTTAAAGGTTGGTAAAAGTGACAGGCAATGGTAATGCTTCTGTATATTTAAAAATATGTTTTTTTAATGCAATTACGGACGCTTTATGTAGAGTTCTCGAATGCATGCACTGTGATATGTTCGTGATATAAGATGACGAGGTTTACCGATTGCCCCAACAAGGCACGTCGTGAATGGACTTGTTACATTCATTGTGAATGGCATGCGACATTGCTTACTCTTGGAAATAACGTGCGAGACAATTTGGAACAGGATTAAAAAAAAACCCACCACCAATTCTGAGAATCCCTTTACCACATGTATTGTAACGTTTTCCTTGCCTACCTGTCAATCAATACGGTTTACCCTATTCTTATACATGGAAATTGAGTTTTCAGGTCCAAACACCATACAGTCGTTTCAATACGGGCAACAACAAAAAGAGTAATATTATAATAATAGGGTTTTCCCCTTTTTTCTGGCAACAAAACTGAAACCTTTTTACAAGGATTCATGTCTGCATTAACCACAATACCTGCAGTCAAAACGCAAAAGAAAGCCGTCCCTTGGTGTGGACCAATCAGTTTCAAGGACAATGCATATATTATCATAGTTTGGTTTTTGTTTGCATTTTGACTGCAGGTATTGTGGTTAATGCAGACATGCATCCTTGTAAAAAGGTTTCAGTTGTGTTGCCAGAAAAAAGGGGAAAACCCTATTATTACATTTTGGTACTGGCAAAGGAGGTCTAATGAAACAAAAAGAGTGTCTATTTTTCTGTGTTTCTCCTTTGTGATGGGACTTTGTAGGATGAACGTTGAGATTTACAGGGTGCTTCAAAAAGATGTTAACACTTCCGAGACTTTGCAAAACAACACCACAAGGAATGTGCTGCTGCCTCCGGGCTCTGGAGACCACCTGGAGAAGATTCCAGGCCACGTGTGTCGACAATGCTGGCAAACAAGTGGAGACGGACTTTTTGAAGCTATTAATACACATTTGTTTACATTGTTACAGTGTATTATCCGTTCGTTTTCCATTCATAAACGATAGTCCCATGTAAGTGTTAACGTTTTTTTTTTAAAGCACCCTGTATAAGGGCACGGGGTGACCAATAAGGTCTCTGACTTGGTCTGTAATAAGGTGGGCACTGATACGGGGTTGACAGGTACGCGTTTTACGACATCACTACCGACTACAGCTTGAGTTTATTTCAAGCGCATGTTTGCTCGTTTGGTGTCAGCCAACGCTGTGTGTGTGTGCTCACGTGACTCACAAGGCAGCAGCAGAGGAGGTTAAGAGTCCACACGCAATGTAGCCCCATAATTGCTTGCCGCTCGCTTTTTTTACCTACGTGACTTCACCGAAAAGAACCAAAGAGTATGTGTATTTGTGTACGTAAAGTAATATAACAATTTAGCCATTTATTTACCTTACAATTCCGTAACACTGAAATTAAACATTATCTGCATCAACAAATAGTATTTAAAATGAATGCACATGCTGATTTTCAGGTGGACAGATTTAAGCATAAAAATTATTGCCTTCGCACCTTGTGATTGTTATGTAGGCATTTTTCTTAAAGTTTTTTTTTTTGCCCTAAAGGAGATAGTCTCGCTAAAGTCATGGATACAATTACCCGTGAAAATAATTGCTTTGAAACATCAATGGGAATTTAATTATAATAATCTTTGTAGCTCCTCTGCTCCGCCACGTTTGAATATTTTCTACAACAGCCTTTGGAGTGGACTTAGATGTAAGAACGCCTGTTTGGTCTTACCTGCGTGCTTTGGCTTAATTATACATTCACAGTTATTGTTCCGATATTTATTGGGGCTACCTCTGCATTATACAAACTATGCATAATCACTACCGTGACAGTGAAGCAAAATTTTATACCCCGCGTGAATTGCGATTGGTTGTTAACGTAAATCAAACAAACAAAAACATATTCAAAACGAATCTCGAAACAATATTAACATTGTAAGACTTGAGAAAATAAAACAAACCAGATCCAAATTTGTATTATAGTAGAAAATAGCGTTTATCATTCAACAACGCAGGCGCCGATTATCTGACGTGCACTCTGTGGCTCTACTTTGGCAATCGCACCGATCTCGATGCACGTGGCGGAGCGTCAAGGGGTCGTGTGGATGTCAGTAACTCTGCCTCGCTGCCCTCTCTGCTGCTGACATAAGAGTCACGTGGGTATGGATGTGCACCCGCGGTGGCGTCACTGGGGCTTTCTTTTCCAGCCTGCAGGCCAAGCGTTCACGGGTGTCCACTTATCAGACTGTTCAATGGTTATGAATATGTAACTCAACTTGCATGATAACGTTTTCAATATTTGTTTTTATTTTACAACCTTTTTTTCTGCGTGTGTGTTTTCTGTGTATGCAGTGAAACTTATAGACCGTCACACGCAATATTTCCAAATCCACACATGTGCAGAGTATACGGTAGGATGCCAATGATAACCGCAAAGAAAAAAACACAAAGAAAATCAGCTGTATACAGGAAACAACTATTTGAACTATGCTTTAGAATGTTTCACTTGACCTGATACACTGCAGAAGTTTGTGGATTATTTGTGTTTGTTAAAGTAGGGAACACTACTACATTTTAAATAATTTCCAAAACAGCCTTTGGAGTGGATTTAAATGTAGATGAAAGCAATATTTCTTTTTTCTATTGTGTATATACCGTATACTGTGCAGTTACTTGAACACCCACCACCACTATCCCAAGCCAATTGACTAGTAGACAACCACTTGCCAGCTTGACATGGCTTGGCCAGTGGACAGACACCCCGTTGCAATGCATCCCAGACACCCCACTCCCGAACAAATGATGCCATAAGCACCAGGCCTAGATGGATTTGGTGTTCACCTAATTAGGGTATGGTAGTTCACGTACGTGAGCATTTCCATGCATCTACCTGAACGTTGGAAATGGAGGTATTCATCACTCGTGGTCCCGTTGTGTACAGACCAGTTGGTCGTTTTTTAGGATGACAAATACATTTCAGGTCCTGCCATTTGACCAGAGATTCCCACTTTGAGTATCCTCTACACAACAAATAATCAATCCCAATATCATGAAAGTGTATCATGTCACAATAAAGATATATATAGCAAGCAAATTGCATTTCTGTAATATATCGGACAAAATGTTTGGCCTGTGGGAGGGGTGGGTCAAGGGTAGAGGTGGGGAACTCTTTCATTCCGGAGGGCCTAACAGGACTTTGAAGTAAGTTTAGTGGGCCACAGGTTAACACACCACTTATTCACTTATTTCGTATGTTTGCATGTATGTTGAACTTCTTTTGCACCATACATACTCACCCGTGTTAATTGAAAGGCCCTTACAGTGGCAGAGGTGACTGAGCATGATAAAATTAGAAAATGTCAAAAATATTTTCTTCTAGTACCGGATTAGGGCAGCCAAGATACAGGGATGGACACATAATTTTTCAGAGGTCTCAAAGTGGCACATGCCTCATGGCTGTGGGCGATATGACGTGAACTCGTGGGCCGAATTTGTTTCGCAGGATGTAGGTTCACCACCCCTGGTCGAGGGAATGGTAATGTGGCTGGGATGGGAATTGAACACACGTTGAACGTCTAGAGGGCATGGGCCCACGATGGACCCGGGAAAGTGATTAATTTAGGAGCACACCAAAGTGGGCTGTTCCCACAAAACCAAATATGCCTGCCATCTTGGCAAGTACAGTAATATAATTACACAGTCTATTGCATTATAATCATATGTCTTTGCTCACTTTGCCTATCCATTATGATTATGCCAAAGTCAACAACTTAAGTTTGGTGAGAAGAAATAAAGGAATCTGTGTGGGGCTGGAGAATAAGATGACAGAGGACCAAGTCATTACACCAAGCGCTCCTCCTGCTCATCAAGGATGGGCTTGGACTCCGGGCTCTTGCGCAGCACTGTGGAAGAAAGGCAATTATTTTAGCTTAGAGATCTCGAATTAAATAATACATGCCTACATATTAATTACTCGAGATGATCTGGTAGCTCAGGGATCAGAGCACTGAGCTGCAGCCCTGAGATGCTTGGCTTGAATCGAGGCAGCCGCTTGTGATTAAATCAGGCTCTCAAGTCCATTGAGTTGATCTGAGTCTGTTTACCAATACAGTATTCCCTCTTTATTCCCGAACTTGCTATCCGTGATTTTGGCTGTCCGAGAATCGAATTTGCAACTCTACACGAATGCATAGAGAGAGAGAGAGAAAGTGATGAGATAAATTGATGTGAGATACTGTGATGCGATAAAGTGATGAGCTATAAAGTGATGAGGATAAAGCATATGATAAAGATACCTTGTCGTAGGCCAACATCACTATTCACCAGCATCTCCGAAACGTATCCCTCGTGAATAATGAGGGAATACTGTAATTGCACATGTTTGACATGTGACGAATATTTTTTGCAAGGTGTGCCTCGAAAATGGTTGAACAGGTCTATTAAAGTAACTACAAAAGCAGTTCTGTGAGACCATCTTACAGGGCCATTATCTGACAGAGTGATGCACTGCTCGATGCAGAGTTCCAATTGCGAAGTTTCTCTATGTCGTGACACGTTAACACCAAAGAAATGTGTACTTACGATACCATTGGTATACATTGCATTGTAGGGCATTTAATTTGTAGCTGCAATAACAACTGCAATGTGGTATGCGATGTTGTTGACATTGGGACCATCCTCAAGGCCGCCACCCTAAAATGGTGAATTCTCTGGGCATGCCGCTGGCAGTGAAGCTGGATGCCGTGTTTGAAGCGACACGTACGTTTGGTGATCGAGTGGTTGGGCCGGCTGCTCTCTTTGATGGCCGCCACGGCCGACTTGCGGTACTTGATAGTGACGACCAAGACAGCGAGAATCCCGGCGATGGTGACAAGCCCAATGGACGCGTAGAGCCATAGCTTGCCTGGGAAACACGCAGTGTGCATGATAACTCTGTGATCAGGGCAGCTGTGAGGAATGTGAATGTCCTGTGCTGATCATGCACCGTACAGAGAGCAGCATGTACAGCACAAAGGCACAGCACAGCTTATTGGGCAAAGGAAAGAGAGGCAAGATACAAACTGTACAGATGGTATGTGGCACACTGAACACATTCTTTCGGAAAAGTAAACACCGTCAACAAAGGGTGGGAAAGCGGAACAATCTGCAGAATAGGGCACATTGCTGCTGGGATTTGTGGATAGATGGGGCACACCATACAGGGAAGCCCTCTCAAGGCCCAGTGCCAAGGAAACACGAAGCAAGGACATGCAGAGATCCGGGAAACGTGCCAGGAAACAAAGGGCAAGTGGCGTAGGACAGCAACAGAGCACACAGCCAGGCAATGGATGGATGGCGCTGAGGATTAATGTGCACTGAGCAGAAGTGCGAATGAGAAATAGAAGTGTGAAGAGAGGTTTGCATTGGGCCACTGGCCGACCGAATGTTTGCGGGCGAGACGGTCCTGGAGATGGGCCATCTTGTAACCCCGCACAGCTGCCGAGTTGATTGAAGTTACGGTCTGAATATGAAGCAGCCCAACTCCAGGTCTGGCTTAACGGTGCATGCGACTGGTTGCCAAGAGGCCCATTTCACCGTTGAATGAGGAGAGGTAAACAGGATCATGGTTCAGTGAGTAAAGTATGCAGAACAATGGTGAGCGAGTGGAAACTTATGATTTTAGCTCACGTACAATGAATCAATACTTTTGTAAATATGAATGCTTAAAATGTGCGTGGCGCACCATTCCTCTTTCTCAAACTGCAGAGCTCATGTTTTTTGCTTTGTTTATTGTCTTAGTTGTCCTGGTATGTCCTTATTTTGTAATGTTTATATTGATACATTGTACAGTGTACAATTCAAATGATTACTTATTATTAAATACTCTCAGAAGCGGATTAACTAAAGCTACTTTTACATGTTTTTTTTTTACTCCATAATTGAACGTTACTCTTAAAAAAAAAGCAAATGCCCAGCAGCACATTCAAGCATGGCCTATGTCATCAGAAATGTTCTCATCTGATTAATGGGATATTTTAGTGCTGGTGAAAAGCTGTCTGCTATGCTTTCACAAGTTAATACAGGAGCACTCACAAGAGTGACAAGCAACAACACACTGCTTTGTATGGGTTTGTGTATTTAGAATTCAGCGTGTGTTTATAATTAGAGTGCCTGCGTGCATTGACCAGCATTTGTGATAACATGCACATGGGTGTGTGTAGGTGCGTAGCGGGGTTCAGTGTGCAAGCCCAGCCTACATGGCCATAGCCTGTGACTATGAATTGTATTCCAATGTCTTTGCCTAATTGTTGTTGTTTACCATACAAGATGCCAATATTTACCACGAAAAGACTGAACATCAAGAGCCATATTCTTGGTTCTTTCGGTAAAGTCACGTAGAAGGAAAACAATAAAATAATTAAAAAATATATAAAACATTATTATTTTATTGTTTTCCTTCTACGTGACTTTACCGAAAGAACCAAGAATATGAATCCCTGCAGTCACGAAAGCTTTAAATCAAAAATCAAGAGCCATGTTTAATTACCACTGCCGCCCTACGTGTCTTGGTTTGCGTGTGGATCTAAGAGTTTGTACTGCGAGAAGGGCGAGTGCCGCTAATTGTGTGCGTATATGTGCCACCAACTTCCTGTGAAGCTGAACGTGTTGGGATCGTGAGCACTCTCCTCCTCGTCCTTGATCTCCTCCAAGAGACTGGTGATCTTCTCCACCTGGACCCCGGCATGCTCCAACTCATCCTCCTCCGTCTTCTCCACTTCTTCCTTCTCCCACCTCTCATTGTCCTCCTTCCAGTAGTCTCTTTCTTGGGATGAGGCTATCTCCCCTTTGTTGTTGCCGTCATCCTCAGCCGCACCTGAAATGGAGAGAACAAAAGTTTGTTTCAATGCCAAGTTTGTCAAGTCATCTATTTATCCCAATCGTGTATACTCCTATCAGCATCGTATCTTATATAAATTATATACAGCGCCTTACTCCAAGGCGCTTTACAAAAGTATAAAATTGTGCATAAGAAGAGAGTACGTGGTTAAAACAATGAGTGGCGTTAATAAAAGTGGTGGTATCGTTATGGTGACAGGAGGACAGGTGGGAGTGGTTAAGGGTTGGGGGTCCATATAGGGGTTGAGGTAGTGATAGGTTTCGTGGTAGTATTAGGGGCAAAGGTGATGATCAGGGTTGGGGAAGGCCTGGTCGTAGCTCGGGGGCGGGGGCAGGGAGTAGAAGTCAGCAAAATGTTCTAGGTAGAAGATATGGGTTGTTTTAAGGATGGAATGGAAGCAGGTTATGGCGAAGATGATTCTTTAATGTTACATGGGAGTTTGTTCCAGTGAAGGGGCGCAAGAAGGGAAAAGGAACGAAAGCGAGACTGGGCGCAGGGCGAGGGAGGCACACGGAGGGACGGTAGAGACTGGGAGAGTAGAGGACAAGATGGGACAGAGGAGTAAGATCCAATCAGAACTCTCACGGTAATTCAATGTTCATAGAGGATCTGGTCACAAATTATGTTTATGAAACTAACAAGTGTTTTTGGGCAACAGCCAGGGTATGAACATGGTTCACCTCGCTGCTATAACGCATTTTAGTACACATACTCATGCCAAAAAGAGTTGCAAGTACTGTACTGCAATAAAGAAATCAAATACAGAGCAAGATAATCCAATTCACAGTAGAATGTGTACATTTTATTTCCTGCACTGAAAACAAGATACGTTTAATCGCAACATTTAAATATATATTGAATCACTGAACATACGAAAACATGTCACTGGACACCTTGCTATTGCTTTTTTCATTTTGCCAAGGCCCTGCAGCTATTGTGATGTTGACTCATGTTCTAAAACGTTTTGCTTTGCCAGGTCCCACCTATCTGGCTTCAGGTCTTCCCCTTGGTCACCGACTTTAGATGCAACTTCACTCTCTGTATTTAACTACCCCCGCCACCCTCCTCGATATGCTGCGTAGATGCCCCATTGCAGTGCAGGTGTGCCTGCTTGCAAACTCCAATTGCGAATTTGAGAAAGTGATTTTCGTCAAGCGCAGAGGTTTGGGGTATACGTTAAGACGGTGTACTGTAATAAGGTTAAAAAGAGAAGGAATTAGTGATGTCTTGACAAACCAATATTGTGGAAATACACTCTCATTTTAAAAGGGGGGGGGGGGGGGGATAAACGATAACAGTTGGCGTCTCATGTAGCACGAGTTGAGTTCCCTCGCTGGCCTGCTGTTCTTATCAACAAGGTCACATATTGTTAACCGTTATCTTGTTGATAGAGGAGACGACCTCTGTGTGCCCGTGAACTTTGGGGGAGACTCGGAGACACGGGATTGTTTTTGCAAGCTTCAAAATATGATTTATATTTGTTAATGGCATGAGAGAAGATTTCAAATGTATTGTTAAATGACGCAGTGTGCTGAGGCATGCTAAATCATTGCTTTTGTCAGACATCACGTTACATTTTATATGTCAGTGAGGCTAATGCACATACGGATGTAACTTCCGGATAAATTATCCATAAACATAGCATGGTCGAACACACATGTCTTATCGATTCATAGCCTAAGAGTTGTTCGCAAAATGATTACTGGTCTACGAGTTGAAAGTTTTAAGTGCCACGTCTACATCACTGTAGGCGTGTGCTTTTAAAGATGTTGGCGTCATTAAAGAGGAAGCCCTGGTGTGTTGTCAACGTGCGCGTTATTTCATTTATTATGAAGTTTGGCTCGCTTTGCCGATGCTACCTTTCCTTTTGACGTCGTTATGTATCGTTTGCCGACCTTGCGTTCTGAAGTAAATCACCAGGAGAATGGCATTTTTGTGACAAAGGGCAACACAGCTATGCAAACGACAAACTTGCGAATTGAACGAGTCTGGTCTCTAACTTGACATGCCGCCGTGAAGAGAAGCCGCTCGGGAAAGAATTCCGAGTGCAACGGAGAAAATATTCGCGAGAGACACCGCAAGTGATGACGGCTTGCGACCGAGGCCGCTCGTCAGTGCGGACAGAAGGCTGCCCACTCGACTTGCTTGTCCGTGGCCTTCGTGGGCCGCACCTTGGCCACTCAAGTCAGGGCGTTGACGAAAACTACGTTATATCCCTGCCTAAAGCAGAAGAAGGTATTATCATGTTGGCAGAGGGGAAGAGGAAACCGTGAAATTGTGCAGTGTGGCTGCATAGACTGAGTCGGCATCATCGTCGACAAGGAATCGGTGAGCAAACTGCTCTGAAGATATTGTATCAATGGCTCACTCTGCTTGATGAGCACCCTAAAGCCAAGGCTGTTGTCAAGTTGAATGAGGAAACATTGAATGACACTACGAAGCTATGTAGGCCCACTCTTAAGTGAATGCTTGCGTAACCATCGCCTCCTGTGTGTGTGTTTATATTCTCTGCATCTGTCAGTCGCCTTTTACTTAAGTATAAAGACATTATCTGGATGACTGAGAGTGGTTTTGCTTAATTTCGAGTTGATTAATTCTGAAAGTGAGAAAGTCTCTGGTAAATGCCAAGACAACAGTAATAATTAACCAGACCTGCCTACACACGACAAAACCCATCATCAAATCCTCATTCTAATTACAAGATGTTCGCTAATAAATCCCGAACAGTTTAACACGTAGGCTTTCGCGACCAATATTATTCATAATAAAGGGTTTTTTTTTGCTTCGATGACGTCAATATAAATGTGTTATTAACCCACCACCACCCGACAGCCAATTAGTAAGGTTTGTCATGTAAATAAAAGTTCCAATTAGTTACAAATTCAGTACGCCAGTGTGTTGGAGAGTAAACCCAAATAATATGAAACCCATAACATTTAAAATTTGAGTACGACATTTTGCTGGTGATTACAACCAGCTTCATCAAGCGATTTGCCAAAATTCTAAAGCAGTCTTCCTGTTTCCGGGCTTAATACTCAAATTCAAAATGCTACGCAAATTTGGACTTGAGAATAATTGCACATACATCTATATACTGTATATAAATCAATGGGGCTGCTGCAGGAATCAAACCCAATGAATTTGGGCAAAAACTGACTCAACAGAAACTTCACGCTCCCCCGGAAGGCTGTATATCCAGCCGTCATACCATCCTTATTCTGTTTCGTCAATGCAGACGCAGTACAATGCCGTAATTAGAAATCTTTGTATTTGTTTCATTGAGACTACGGGCTTGTGTTGCACGGACAGCCGTTTAGCACCACTTGAGATGTCCGGCAAAAGGGAAACAGCAGCACACAGTGGATCTCGGGAAGTGTACAGTGCCCTCAGGCAGCTTGCCAGGGAGGGAAATCCGCTCTGGAGCTGTTTTCCTCTGCATATAAATTATGTTGTGATTTTTTTCTCTCTTTCTCTCTGTTCCATTTTACAAATTGAAATCATTTTTCATTTCCTGTATTGGGGAAACCATACGATTATGTATTTCGCGGTGCTTTCCAAATACTGCTTTGCAGAAGTGCCATATCCGTATCCGTAGAGCACGTACAAGCTGTGTGTGTGTCACATGCACTGGTGTATTAATTGGTCAATAACGCCTTCATTGGCTGATAACATCTTGATATATATGGGGCCGCAGAGCTTGGGGAATTGTTGGTGCCGGCTCATCGCGTGGCTGCTTGAATGTGATTCCTCCTTGCACGTTTCAGACATTCCCTCTCTCTCAAAAAGGAGTGGGTGAATACTGTGTCCGTTATAAGTTGAGAATGACATTTTCTCTATATATAAAAGATGCACAAATGTACGAATAAAGCGAATTTGCATCTGCTTTTCCCCACGTAAGTACGGTACTCGTGCATACACCGCACCCGCACGACACAAGCTCACAAAACACGCACATCAGTGTTCATGTAAGAATCGATTATTTGTAATTATATGCAAATCATATGTTATTTATCATGCTCGTGTAAATGTAAGCTAAGAATGAACAACATTTCACGAGTTAAAATGAGATTAAATTGTCAAATTTGTTGAATCGAAACATAACCAGAAATCGAATCGATGAGGCAAGTGAATTGTTGTGTGCCTGCCTGATCTGCACACGTTCAACAAGTCACACAGCATAATCATAAGCTCATACGCACATTGCCTATACGACCCGAGATAGTTTTTACATCAGCGCAAAGCATTGTAAAGGATCAAAAGGACATTGAGATGTATTATTAATGTTTAATTCGTGCAATAGATATGTCTTGGTCATGGATTATTGGCACGTGGCCGCCTTGCACAGGAAAATGCAGCCTGGCAAACGTCTCGAGATGGAATGAAATCTGTCAGGCATCTTGCTTTACAAGGCAAATGCATTTCCCCAAAATGAACATTCATGAAAACATTTCACTTCATTTTTACTTTTAACTACCCTATCAAAAATGTCACCGTGGTGACAGCAATAGCCCCCCTTCCCCCTGGCTGCGCAATATGCTTCGTGAGCCTTTCCCCCCTGCAACCATGGCAATGGCTGAAGCAATTGCTGCCACTGATATTGAGGCTGCCACTGTTATTGAAGCGACCCTTCAGGGCACAGCTGGAGATGCGGGCGCTGTTTGCATTTCAGCCTGGTAAGCGGCCAACTCGGGAGAGAAAAACTAAATAATAAATAAATGACCCGCCGTGCAAAGATCAAGTGCACCTTAGCTTTTGAGCCTTAGTCTAATTGACGTCAAGTGAGTTGCCTGTGGTCTGTCATGTTCAAATGTTATAGGTTGAATCACGGCTGCCCATCATTTTCACAATTGACATTATTGTTTTTTTTTTCATTTGCGTTTGCTGGCTGCAGTTATAGGCAATCACATAGTCATTACAACAACGATCTCCTCCATATTTCTCACACGCCTATGTATGTATGTTGAACTTCTTTCGCA